GGATAACATTAAGAATAAAAAAAATACTATATTTTAAGGATATGCAGATCAAATTAAATCTTGGTCAAATCAGCTTGAATTCAGAAGCTAGTCTTACAATTTCTGCGCAAAATAAACAAACTCACAGGTTTTTGTGGTGGATAATTTCATTTGATGTATGCACTTAGCATGTTTTAGCAACTTTCCTTAATATTCTATATGCATGTTTTACTTACCTCTTTCTCTCTCTCTCTCTCTCTCCCCCCTTCCTGCTCAAATGTATGCAATATGTATACAGTTTTTGAGATGGAAATATTTCAAGATGGCTGTTGGTTGACTCCATGAATTACATGCATGTCCACTTAAATACTACACATTGTAGTGGATAACATTTTATTTGAAAAGAAACTAATGATTTATTTCTATTACATCGCTACCATATTATCTCCATATATAATGAAAAAGTTACTATTTTATTCATTATTTTAATTTGTGTGAAATTTGTGGGTATTCATTATTTTAATTTGTGTGAATTGCAGCATTATTTATTATCTAAAATTATCTAATATTTTTATTTGTTATAATTTATTTTTTCATATTGCCATTTAAAAAGATAAATATTTTCTACCTTCATACAATTAATTGGATCCCCTTATTTGCTCTATGCCTCTTGTGAATTCTTTGTGAACATGTCTTCTTACACTTTTGACATTATCATAGAAATTTATCATATATATATACATATACACACACACATACACACACACATACACACATATATATATGTTGTATTTGTGCTGATAAATAAATAAAGGGAGAGTAGTATAGATAGTATATATATATTTATATATATATGTATATGTATAGTATATATATATATATTTGAATAAAAAGTTCCTTGAATCTTGATATTTCTAACTATGGCTTTAAAAACTAAAATTGGCTATTAAAAAAATAACAAATTATTTGGCTTTATCTGTGGTTTACACAATTACAATTGTGTAATTACAATCACACTTTTAGAAAATAAATTATTATATCTATTCATTTTGCTTATAAAGCCTTTACAATTTCTTTCATTGGGAAGCATATAAACCTTCCCAAGGGAGCTCAAGAAAGGAGTGGGATAAACTCATCTTGTTCTAAATGCCTTATCATTCACATTCTAGTTCACAAACTTTTTAATATTGGTCTAGGAATTCTTTTATTCCTTACTTCTCCAGTTCTTCAAGTACAAATCTAGTTTCAAATATCCTTTCTTCCTTCTTTAACTTCTGACTTAAATCCTGAAGTTTATGTAGCTGTATCCTTATCTGTGGACAGTAGCGTTCTGGTTTTTCTTTACCATTACCATTATTCCAGGATTTATTTTTCACAGATCACTTCTCTACTTTTACGAACCATATTTCTATGGTTGAATAGAAAAGAATTTTGTACCTAAAGCAACACTGCCATTTTTTCTCCTTTTATAATGAACCCCCATTGGCATGATACAAAAAAGATAAGGATGTGATAATGTCCAAATCAGCATAGTTGCCTAAACACCCACATAAAATTAGGAAATAGCCTGATTTGCGCACTGTGTGTGTGTGTTTGTGTATCCCCAGAGATGCTGCAGCAGGCACCTTCAGTGCTCCAATCAAGCTATTTTCTAATGTTATTTAATTTTATATATCAGATTTATAGGCCGCCCACCTTACCTCAAAGTAACTCTGGGTAGAATTATGCCTTTCAGCTGTAAATGCAACACTATAATAATGGAAAAATGTGGAGGCTTCTTTGTGATATTGCAGTGTTCCTTCCCTGTGACCCTCTCCCATCCCCATAAATGTCTCTGGTTACTTGACATAACTGCAGAGCATGCCACAAATCAGTAATAATTACCTGTCCATTCTTGTGTTGTTTTATGTTATCTTGTTACTTGTATAAATGTCAAGCATAAAAAAGGATATTTTCTATATTTTATATTTTTAGAGGACTGTTAACAAAATCTATTTCTTCTGATAGAGAGAAAAGCAGTAACATTTGCAAAGGCCATGAAGATAGTTTATACTCCAAAGTTACTAAATAATGTGAAATTCCTTTTGTTTTCTACAGCTTGGTCTTTTTTCTAAAACTTCCCTTTTCTTTCAATAATAAACCTTGTTTCAAACATGTATTTTAAAGATTACAGACTATTTTATGCTACATATGGGGATTTTTTTCCATCTCTAAATGCAATCTTGTTTAAAATTAATCAGGCACAGGTAATTTGATAGTTAGTTGACTGAACATTATTAGTGTAATTTCTCATTGTTGACATGGATCATTTGCCATAAAGATATCCAACTCAGAAGTCAAACATTTTCATGTTTTTCTTTCAGTCATTAAAATCTGATCTTGAACTAGTGCTCTGTAATAATTCATTATGTATATATTTTCAGGTGATTGAGAACTATTTTCAAATTCTATGTGCAAACATTTAGATAGATTCATTTTCATGTATGGTCTGAGACACAGGACAAAAATAAACATTTTTCTGAGTATTTTTGAAAAAAATTCAGGGAGGACAGAATCATTTGATCAGGAACTGGTACATATATTACATTAGAATATTAGAAATACAAAGTTTGAAGGTCTTGGAGGTTGGAGGTCTTCTAATTGGAGATCTTGGAAGTCTTCTAATCCAACACTTGGAAGTCTTCTAATTCAACCCACAGCTCAAGCAGGAAACCCTATATTATTTATATCCAATCCATCCAATATATGTCCAATCTCTTCTAAAACTGTAAGCTAGATGCCTTATACATTACATATTCATGTAATGTGCAAAGCAGCTAGTTCTATGCTTCTTCCCAGTTAGATCTAGAGAATATCTTTTTCAAAGTATTTATAGTTGATATGCAAGCATTCCCTGAGAAGCCACCTGACAAGATACCTTAGAAATAGATATAAAGAAGTGTTATACAGAAGCAGTAGGCCTCATATAAAATAATTTGTAGGTTACCTATTTTAATTTTTCTATTAAAATTAAGCCTTAATGTCAGTTCCTCAAATATATACCACATAGACACAGATGTTTGCAGTGTAAATTGTAGACTATAATATTTTCTCAGTGAAAAGGAAGAGCTAAAGTCGCAACGACACAACGTGCGATCTTGGAGCTCCAAGATCGCAGTTGATACTTTTGCCACTGGACGGTCCTTTTAGACCTAAACTGCCCTGAAGGGACGGTGACAGGGAAGAGTACGTCCTGCTGATCTCAGGGACACCGCAAAATCCCTGATTGATCCAGGAGAATCTCTTTTTGCCGGCGGCAGAAGCGCAGCCATTGAAGCTGCTGAAGTTGGGACAGCTCCGGAACGGGAGGAAAATGGAAAGAGAAAGTGTGTCCAGTTGGTGAGGAAATATTATTATAAAAGAGACTACCCCCCAAAATTAAAGCTAAATTAAATTTGAAAACAGAAGAGAACAAGCGGCAAAATTAAGCTACATTAGACAGTGTGTTATCCTTTTTTAAAAACAAATCTTTTACGGATGGAACTTTTGCAAATATTTCCTATTCTTTAAATTGAATGAATTAGTTTTTCTTATTCTACTTTTTTTTTAATACCTATGAATTAAAATCTTTTTCCTTATTTTTATAATGCTGGATTGGATGGGTTTTTTTTTGCTCCATTT